TGTCACCTAGTGGAAGAAGGGGAGGACATCAATCTTGGAGACACCCTGGACAATAGCCACTCCCTACAATCCATGCAAAAGACCAACACCTGCAGGACTGCGGGTGGCAAGGTGGTGTCTGAGGTCAGCGCCACCAAAATTCTGAGGTGTTAAAGGCAGAAGTAGGGCATCCTTTGTGGGGGCAGGAGACCAATAAAAAGTTCAGAGATCACTGAATATTAAAAAAATAAAGAAAGAAATATTAATTACCAAAATTACTCAAGAAGACTCAGGAGAGTTGAGAAGGCCAATAGCTATTGGAGAAACTGGAATCGTTAGAGAATTGTCTCTCCAGCTGCCCTGTGAGAAAGTGGCCATCTGCATGCAAGCCAAGAAGAGTGCTCTCACCAGAAAGTGACCAGGCTGGCACCTTATCCTGGACTTCCGGCCTCCAGAACTGTGAGAGAATTATCTCTCAAAGAAAAAGGCCCTGGGACCTGATACTTCTCATGGTCACCTGTTTTTTGTTGTTGTTGTTGTTGTTTTTTAAGATTTTATTTATTAAAAAAAGATTTTATTTATTTACTTTTAGAGAGAAGAGAGGAGAGGGAGAAAGAGAGAGAAAGAAACATCACTGTGCAAGAGGTATATCTATCAGTTGCCTCCCACATGCCCCAACCTGGGGCCCTGGCCCACAACTCAGGCATGTGCTCTGATTGGGAATCGAACCAGTGCCCTTTCAGTTTGCAGGCTGGTGCTCAATCCACTGAGCCACATCAGCCAGGGCTCATGGTCACCTTTCTTTACAGCTTCAAACAATAGATAATTCCTGTATTGTTTAATCTGCTTTAGGACATATATTAAAAGGTTGTCCAATAACTTTATAAAACCAGTAAAATCATAATACCAAAACTTAACAATGCATAAATAAAACTACAATGCAATTTTTCATACAACTACAGATGTGAAAAAATAAAATCCTAAATTTACTACAATGAGAATCTGATTTTATATTAAAAGAAGACACTCTAGATAAGTTACTATTATTCTAGGAATGGCTGGATACCAAGATATCTATTAATATAACACATCTCATAAATAAATCAGTATTTATCACCTTCTTTTTTAATTCCAGAGAGGAAGCGGGAGAGGGAAAGAAAAACATCAATCCATTGCCTCCCACATGCACCCTGACTGGGACCAAACCCGCAACCCAGACATGTGCCCTGACCAGGAAGCAAACCACAGCCCTTCAGTCCATGGGACGCTCCAGCCAACTGAGCCATACCACCCAGGGCTCACGAGTCTTTAAAACAGGCGTGCACGGCCTTTGACCAACAATCCTGCTTTTAGGGCTCCATCCTCAGAAAATGATAATGGTTGTACACAAAAGTGTCGCTGCAAGGCTATTCCTTCGTGTCGCTGATATCAATACAGACGAACACACAGATAACCTGAATGTCAGGGCCAGCTAAACACCCTGTACACGTGATTCGCGTACAAGTGAGGAATATGCAGCCACAACAAAGATGTTGTGGCAGAGTCTTGGAACAGGAACATGTCCGTAGCTCCAAAATGCAACATGGCCTCGCTGAGGTTAAAAAAATATATTTCAAATTTTCATTTATTTTTAGCATCACATTCCACACTCTCTGTAGTTATCACTTAAAACTTTTACAATATGATGATAAAAATATGAAGCAACAATTTTTTTTTATTTTCCATTTCTTGTTTGTGATTAGGAGTGAAATATCAGAGAATGACTTTAGCATTCACTTTAGAAAGGACTCATTTATATTTTCCTACCAGCGGGGTGACCCCACTTAGGACCCTGCCTGGATCACAGGACTCGGGACTCCCCACTTCTCAGCCAGCTGTCAGACTGTGCACAGGGTCTCCTCATCCAGCCCACCCCAGCACTGACACCAGGTTCGACCCCCTAAACCGCCACGGTCCCCCAGTCTCTCCACTGCTGCAGAACTTTCAGTGGGACTTCTGAGCGAGATGATGGCAGAGGGAAAGGTGGCACTCGCCTCCTCCCACAACCACATCAAAGCTACCACGAAACTACAAAACAGCCACCATTCAGAACCACCTGAAGTCTGGCTAAATGGAAGTCCTACGAGGAAAAGGAAGAAGCCACACTGAGACTGGCAGGAGAGGTGGAGAATTGGAACGGGCTAGTCTCACTCTGACGTGTAGTGGATGAAAGTCCGGATGGGTATCTCCGCTGTGGGGGTGCTTCCCAAGGAGCTAGAGACCCCGGCCCCACACTAACCCTCCAGCCCAGGACTCCAGGGCCAGGAAGAGCAGTCCCCGTCACTTCTGGATATAAAAATCGGGGCAGGGTGCAGGGTGGATTGTGGCCGAGTGCGCTGGCAGGCTTCTGGAGTCCCAGGCAGTTTGTCTTAAAGGGCCCGTGCATGGACCCAGTCGGACTCACTCGAGTCCGACTCACCCAGTCGGATTCACTCAACTTCAGGGCTAGGGTAGCAGCTTGGTGAGAACTAGGGACACGTGGGGAGGAACCGAATTGTCCAGCATCACGGCAGAGCTACAGGGACAGCTTTCTCCCAGACAGAAGTGTTGGCAGAAGCCATTGTTCTTTTGATGAGCCCTCCCCCCACAGAGTTGGCAGCCAGGCTCCACATCTGAGACTCCATCAGTCGGGCTACACTGTTTGCCCCGCCCTGGTGATTCCCTGAGGCCATGTTCAAACCGAGCTGTTTCCAGTGGCTCTTCCATACCAGTACCCTGTCTTGGCTCCTGCTTCAGATTTTCCTAAAATCACTCAAACAAGCAGCATCCAGCCTCAGCGTGCCCTGTGCCTCGTGCTAAGTGGCCCCAGGCCCGGCACTAGCAGCAGCTGGCCTTGGTTCCCAGCTTAGCCTCTTCCAAGCCCAACACAAGTAGCAGCCATCTGCAGATCACTTTGTAGCCCATGCCAAGTTGCCCAGGCAGAACACAGGTGGCGGGTGGCTTTGACTTGCACCTCCCAGGAGGCCCCAGAGCCGCAGCACACAGTGGCCAGCTGAAGGCCCTGTGGAGCCCCACCACCCACCCACCTCTGCAGCTGCCACACTCAGGGGCAGACTCAGTGGGCACCCGAGCCCCAGTGCAATGAGTCCTGCTCTGTGGGGCAGGTCCCGGCACAGCTGATCAGAGGTCTGTGGGCGGTGATCTCAGCCAGTCCTTGCAGCTGAGTGGCCTGAGGGTAAATTCTGCGAGGTGCTGGGCCAACAGCAATCAAGGCTTAGCTACAACAGAAGGGTGTACACAGCCCACGGGGTAGGGGGTGCACTTAGAGTGCCCAGTTCGGGTGATCGGAGAGGCCATTGCCACTGGACCCTAAAGGACTCCTACTACATGAGGCCACTCTACCAAGCCTGGGAGACGTAGCAGTCCTACCTAATAGGTAGAAACAAACACAGGGAGGCTGCGGAAACGGGGAGGCAAAGTAACATGGCCCAAATGAAAGAACAGGACGAAATGCCAGAAAATATATGTCTATCAACAACTGAATCTAAGAAACAAAATAAATAAACAAGCAGGACAGAAGCAGACTTGTGCATACAGAAAACAATCGGAATGTTGCCAGAGGGGAGTAGTTTGGGGGAGGCGTGAAAGCGCAAAGGGCTCAGGAAGTACGAAGTGGTTGTCATAGCAGAGTCGTGGGGATGTAAAGTACAGCATAGGGACTGTAGTCACTAACATCATGATAATCCTGTATGCTGTTAGACGGGTGTGAGATTAATCGGGATGATAACTTAGTAAATCGTATGATGTCTGGTCACTGGGGTGTACACCTGGAAGTAGTAGTAAACTGTAATTAACTTTAGAGTTGGGGGGAGAAAGAGAAAGAGAGAAACATCAGCTTATTCCACTTACTTATGTAACACTGGTGACTTCTCGTATGTGCCTTGGCTGGGGATCAAACGCACAACCTAGGCAGATCGGGATGACACTGTAACCAACTACGTTACCTGGCCAGAGCGGGGATGAAATTCTGATACCTGCTACAACATGGATGAACCTTGAGGACATTATGGTGGGTGTAGTAAGCCAGAAACAAACACACACAAAATGGTATGATTCTACGTATGGGAAGTGGACATATTTCACGGAGACGAAGTAGAGTAAAGGTTACTAGGAGCCTCGGGGAGAAGCAAATGGGGAGTCGCCGCTTCAGGGCACAGTTTGTCTGGGATGATAAAGGGTCTGAAGTAGACAGGCGATGCGGTATGGCTTGTGAGTGTGTTTAACACCACTTAATTGTTCACCTACAATGGTAAAATTTTTAATGTATATTTTAATGTAATAAAACCAATTAAAAAAAAAAACAATTCAACTGAGCCCTGGCCAGGTAGCTCAGTTGGTCAGAGCATTGTCCCCATAACGCCAAGGCTGCGGGTTGGATCCCTGGTCAGAGCACAGACAAGAAGCAACTAAGGAATGCACGAAGAAGTGGTGCAACAAACCAGTGTTTTTTTTCTTCTCTCTCCCTTCCTCTCTCTAAAGTCAATAAATTTTTTTTAAATCATAGAGCTAGAAAGTGGTCAAGCTAAGATTTGAACCCAAACCTACCTGACTCTAGGGCCCATGTTCTCAACCTTAGGGCTTTTCTGCCTCTGGAAAGAGCGGCCAAACACCAGTCAGGACTTCTGGGTCCTTCCCATCACTGTCCAGTGTGACTTGGCCTGTCTAGTGGTTTTGATTTTCCATGGAATGTCCCAGACCTGATTCCTGACCCAGATGCCTTCCGCTTCTGACGTACTCTGGGAAAAGGGAGGGGGACCAGCTGTCCGCCCCTTCCTTTGCCCCTCCCTTAGAGGTTTGCCCTGGAGTTAAGCCAGCCCTTAAGAAGGCCTGCACTTCCCCTTCCTTTCCCCATTCTACGAGAGAGCTCAGACTTGGCTGCATTCCAGGATAAACTCCCACAAGGCAAGAGATAACACCCAGCCAAGGTAAAGATTGTGACAGCCCTTAAAAAGGCCTCCTTGCCTCTCAGGGTGGCTGCAGCCCTTCCTCTCCGGACCTGTGCATCCTACCTGCCAGCACCAGGCCACCATGTGGGAGCTCTGGGCTATCTTGCTCCTGACCCTAGCCTGTGTTTTTTGGCCCAAGCCAAAGCACCCAAGTGGCAAGTACCCCAAGAGCCTCCCATCCCTGCCCTTGGTGGGCAGCCTGCCATTCATCCCCAGAAGTGGCCATCCGCACGTGAACTTCTTCAAGCTGCAGGAAAAATACGGCCCCATCTATTCTTTTCGTATGGGTAGCAAGACTACAGTGATGATCGGCCACCACCAGCTGGCCAAGGAGGTGCTTATCAAGAAGGGCAAGGAATTCTCGGGGCGGCCCCAAGTGGTAAGCAGTGCCCATTGTCTCTCCTCTCTCACCACCCATGGGTTTGTTCAGTTCTTGGGCCAAGACCATGCCTGGAATGACCCTTCCAGATCTAACAACTTGTAATTCTTCCTAAAAACAGACTAGCAGGGCTTCTGGTGGGGAGCAACCCCTCAAGGTCCTACCTAGCCTCTAACCCAGGCAGGAAGAATGAAAGGAAGACCTCCTGTTCAGGGCTGCCCTGAAGGGAGAGTGGGCTGGGGGCACTGGCCTGGGTGCAGGGGGTCAGGGAGTCCTCACTCCCATCATCTCAGCCCCAAACTGGATAAGGATCTCTCTGAGCCTAAGACTTCCCTAGTTAACTGGGATAGTGCATGCAAAAATCTTAGCCCAGTGCCCAGTGCAGTAAGTGCTCAATAAATAGCTTTATGGATGTTCCTCTTCCTGTGAAACGTGGGAGTAGTCATTACTGTCCTCTGTGGGAAAGTACAAGGGAGCAGCCTGGTCTGGGAGGGCTGGGGTTGCCGTGTCTCTGGAGCCAACCGCAGCTCACAGCTCACAGCGGGCTACCTGCCCAGAGCACCGCCAGTGCACCGCCTCCCCCCCCCAACACCCAAGGCAGGGCTCCCCAGACACTCATCTCTGATCAGGCCAGGTTTGCTGCCCAACTGCCTCCCTCCCAACTCTGCTGAACGCTTCTCCTCGGTGCAAAGAGGAAGGAGGACACCAGTCAGTTGGGGTTTGCGAGTCAGGGGAGAGAAAAGGGGAGGCTTTGAAGCCTAAGCTTTTCATGTGCCTCTGGGAAGAGATGGCTTGACCCCAAGTTCAGACTGGGCGGACGAGACATCTGCAGTCTTCGGGTGTGGCCCTGTGGTGGGCACACAGCCTGGCCATGGAAGGGCGCACGAACAGGAGGCGAGCTCCTGTGCCTTTAGCGTCTCCCAGAGGACCCAGGAAAAGGCAGAGGTCTGGGTAGTCCTCGGTCTCTGCAAGCCCCTCCACCGCCCACCCCTGCCCCCAGGATGGCCTGATTCAGAGAGCTTACGTCATCCATAGCTGCTCTCCCCAACCACCCAGTCAGCAACTGGTAAGAAAAGAGAGGCCCAGAGGTGACCCTGACATTGAACGGAACCCCAGAACCCCTGCATTCAAACTGAGCGTCCCTTCTTCCTCACTCTCTGATGGAATCCGGAGTTAGAGGGGCTTGGGCCCTGTCTGCCAAGGCCTCGCAGTCCTGGTGGAGAGATGCAATGACACCCCACAGCCTGGGTCCCTTGGGTCCGGGGAATAGGTGCAGGAGACCCAGGGTAAGGACCGGCGGGGCATGTCGGATTGATCCAGCCTTTCCTGCTCTCCAAAGACAACTCTAGATATCCTGTCAGACGAGCAAAAGGGCGTTGCCTTTGCCGACTACGGTGACGCCTGGCAGCTGCATCGGAAGCTGGTGCGGGCCACCTTTTCCGTGTTCAAGGATGGAGACCTGAAGCTAGAAAAGATCAGTGAGTGCCCTGCGGGGCCCCTGGAGCTCGTGAGGGAGATGAGGGCTACTGCGGGAGAAGGGATGCAGGGGGCTCAACCTAGCGTTTTCTTGGCTACTGCTGCCATCTAGTGGCCATCTGCTATCCGTCCCTGATAAAGACGGAACCGGTAGAGATGGGGTGAGGGTGCTGCTTAATCCCCCAACCTCATGTCCTTCTCTTCCCTCAGTATGTCAGGAAATCAGTTCATTTTGTGATTTCCTGGACACCCAAAATGGCCAGTCCATAGATTTGTCCTTGCCGCTCTTCCTGGCGGTGACCAACATAATCTGCTTTATCTGCTTCAACACCTCCTTCAAGAAGGGACATCCTGCGTTGCAGACCATACACACGTCCAACGAAGGCATCATGGAATCGCTGGGCCAGAACAGTATGGTAGACGTATTCCCTATGCTGAAGGTAGGCATGAGAACAGGCCCCTCTGCAGAGCCCAGCAGACCCTGCGGGTGCCCCCATTTCTGCTTTCTTCTTACCTCCCAGTTCCAGACCCACCTTCCTCCTGGCCACCTCAGACACACTGACCTCTACCATCTCTGCCTCTTAACACTTTGCTGCTTGTCTACATACATAGGTTTAGCTTTTTAGTCATGCATGTTATACTCATAACTAACAGCTTTCATTTATGTACTAACTGCCGTGTGCCACTAACAAGCAATCTGCGTGCATTAATCATGGCATTCCCCTTGGAGGTAGGTTTTATTATCCCCAAAGGGATGAGTATACAGGCCTTGAGAAGTTAAAAAACTTGCCCAGGGCTTCAGACTCAAGTTTTTCTTACTCTTCAAGGATGGGCACGAAACAGAGCCTACTAAGGAAACTTTGGTGTCTGATGTTTGACTGAAGGGGGTGGGGGTGGGGCGGGGGAGGCAGGGGGGGTGGAGACCGCCCCCTTCTCCCTGGTTTGGAATCGTCCTAGTTGTCGTTGGTGGTCCCATTTGCCCCCCTCTCGCCTTCCATTCTGGCTGAAGGTTGGGGTTGGAGCGGAGCTCTCCAGAGACACAAGGCTGGGATCTACCCCCGGGAGGGATTCTGGCAGCTGTAGAAGCAAAATGTGAGAGGGATGGGTTTGACGTTCCTTCCTACTTTCCAGATTTTCCCCAACAAAACCATAAAAATGATGAAGAACTATGTGAAAATGCGAGATGATTTGCTGAGTTCAATCTATGAGAAACATAAGGTAGGGGATGGAGCAGCAGGGATCATGAGTTAGCTTGAAAGTGTCCTGAGAGTAGGGTTTGGGGTCCACTTTGAACACCGTAGGATCTCCAGCAGCTAGCAGAGAGTCTTTGCACGTAGTAGGTGCTTATTAAAAACTGACTTAACTAATGAATAGGGATGGGGAAGTGAGGGATTGAAGAAGATCCTAGAGGGGACCTGTCCACCCCCCCAAAAAATGTATTTACTTATTTAGATTTTATTTATTTTATTTTTAGAGAGAAGGGAAGGGAGGAAGAAAGAGAGAGAAAGAAACATCAATATGTGGTTGCCTCTTGTTCACCCCCTACTGAGGACCTAGTTTGCCACCCAGGCATGTATCTTTGAGTGGGAGTTGAGCCTGAGACCCTTTGGTTCACAGGCTGGCACTCAATCCACTGAGCCGCACCAGCCAGGTCCACCTCTCTCCCCCACCACATTTAAAGAGGACCTAGAGCTGCCTCACCTCCACAAGCTCATAGGTCCAGACTAGACTCACTTCACTCCCTCACTTCCAAGTGGAAGAAGCCTTTGTATCTCCAGTCTAGGATGGAAGTATGGTAGAGTGTTGTAGATGGGGCTCCTTCCTTATCACTATTTCCCGATCTCACCCAACCAGAAGAACTTCAGCAGCGACTCTGTCACTAACTTGGTGGACATACTGATTCAAGCGCAGGTGAACTCGGTCAATAACAACACTGGCCCAGACCAGGAGTCCAAGCTGCTCTCGGACCGATACAATCTTGCTACCATAGGGGACATCTTTGGGGCTGGTCTGGAGACCACCACTTCTGTGGTGAAGTGGACGGTGGCCTTCCTGCTGCACAATCCTCAGGTGGGCTTCTCCTTACTCCAGCCTTCCCAACCACCCCTGACCCCAGCCAGATGCAACTCTGGCCTCAGAGAACGAGGCACCGCCCCAGGGTTCCCATGCAGGAAGACTAGCCTGCTCCGCCCTCACCCTAGGGTGGCACTGCCCCATCTTCTGGAAGGAGAGCCTAGGCTGCAGAGCACCCCCTGAACACATGCTCGCAACACATGCGCACACGCCCTGCCAGACGTGAACGTCCTCACACGGAAGAGCTGCTTCACAAGTGCTTGTCAGGGAGCGAGTGCTGGGGAAGAGCTGGGTTCACACGAAATCTGGTGGAAGCCGAGGAAAAGATGAGGGGGTGGGCACGAGGGAGTAAAGGGCCCTTGCCTCCGGAGTGGAGGACGGTGGAGGCTTGGGGCTGAGCAGGTGGGGGAGGACGATATGCCAGGCCCCCTTTTCCTCTCCCTCCCGGGACAGCATTGGTGAGTTTGCCCCTGAACAGGGGCTGGGCCAGCTCTTCTAGATGTGACAGTAGGGTTCCTCGAAGCCCATGCTTCTCCTGGACTTAAAGACACTCTAGTCACATTACCCTTTTCTTGCCCCCAGTTGCTAAAGAAGATCCAGAAGGAGATTGACCAGAATGTAGGTTTCAGTCGCACCCCAACTATCAGTGACCGGAACCACCTCCTTCTGCTGGAGGCCACCATCCGAGAGGTGCTTCGCATCCGCCCCGTGGCGCCGACGCTCATCCCCCACAAGGCTATCACTGACTCCAGGTGTGCTTTCCCTCGCAGTGACGCCCAGCCCCAAGATGCACTCAACACTGCTTGCCAGCCCACCCAGCCCCTCCTCCACTCCCCCAGCCCACCACCTTGCTGATCCACCTGTGGTCAACCACGGACAATGACCCTACTGATCAACATACCCACCACCCACTAACCCCCAGCGACTAATCCACAGACCCACCTGAGCTCCCTCAGAAGCCGCCTGCTGTCCTAGAGACATGGGGTCTGGGACAAAAGGCAGGTGCTCTGTGCTCCCACTCGGCCCAATAGCCACAACACACATTGCACCAGCTCGCAACACATGCGCACACGCCCTGCCAGACGTGAATGTCCTCACACGGAAGAGCTGCTTCACAAGTGCTTGTCAGGGAGCGAGCGCTGGGGAAGAGCTGGGTTCACACGAAATCTGGTAGAAGCCGAGGAAAAGATGAGGGGGTGGGCACGAGGGAGTAAAGGGCCCTTGCCTCCGGAGTGGAGGACGGTGGAGGCTTGGGGCTGAGCAGGTGGGGGAGGACGATATGCCAGACCCCCTTTTCCTCTCCCTCCCGGGACAGCATTGGTGAGTTTGCCATTGACAAGGGCACAAACGTTGTCATCAACCTGTGGGCACTGCATCACAGCGAGAAGGAGTGGCACCAGCCGGACCAGTTCATGCCTGGTGAGTCCGCGTCCTGCCCTGCTCCCAGGCCGCACCCCAGCATTACTTCCCCTCCACCAGGGGGCCGCTAGAACACCCCCATCCCCCTCTGGGTTTAACCAAACTCTTCACGGCTGGGTTTCCTACTTGTCCTTCCACTAACTGCAAACCTCCTCCTCCAAGAGGCCTTCTAGGCACACGTCCCCCAAGAAGTCGGCCCCCTCTCCCCTTGGATGGTAGCGTTTCCACCTGCTGGACATTTCATGTCCTCTGTGTGAGGAAGGGCCGCCCGAGGGTAGGGCTGTGTCTCTTCCAGGCTGAGATTCCCCCAGGTGAGGCTGTGCACATCCCGGACGGGGGCTCCTCTGGCCGGGCAGAGGCACCCCTCTACTTATTCCTGCCCTGGCCCCTGCCTGACCCCTGCCGTACGTCCCCACAGAGCGCTTCCTGGACCCCACGGGGAGCCAGCTCATCTTGCCATCGTTAAGCTACTTGCCCTTCGGAGCAGGACCGCGCTCCTGCCTCGGGGAGAACATGGCCCGCCAGGCGCTCTTTCTCTTCCTGTCCTGGATGCTGCAAAGGTTTGACCTGGGGGTCTCGGATGACGGGCAGCTGCCCTCCCTGGAGGGCACCCCCAACGTGGTCTTTCAGATCGACTCTTACAAAGTGAAGATTAAGGTGCGCCAGGCCTGGAAGGAAGCCCACGCTGAAGGTAGCACCTAGAAGCCGTAGGTAGCGCTCCGCCAAGTGTGGCCCCACAGCACAGAATTAGAAGCGCTGCTCCGCCATTCCGCCACTCCTCCCTCCTCCTAGCCCACTCTGCGTTCTCTTCCGCCCTGCAGCCCGGACAGTGATGTGCATGAACTCAAGTTTTTCTTAAGAAGGTCCCTGGCCCTGGCCATTGTGGCTCAGTTGGTTGGAATGTCCTCCCGGAAATCGAACGGTTGCTGGTTCAATCCCCGGTCAGGGCACGTGCAGGAGGAAATATCTCTCTCTCACATGGATGTCTGTCTCCCTCGACAATGAAAAAATGTCCTCGGGTGAGGATTAGAAAAACAAAAGAAGAAGGTCCCTGAGCTTAATCATTATATTTGTTAATATCATTACATTATCCTTCTTTAAAGAAAGTGGGAGGAGGGTCTCTGAGCAGCTCGTGCATTTAATTGTTCACTCATTCTTTCAATAAATGTTTTATTAAGCACCTCCTCCACGCCGCTCACTGTCCCTAGGCACTCAAGCTCCCTGGTGCCCCGAAGCTTATATTTCTAGCAAGGGCCAACAAATAAACAAGCAGTTCAGAGACACATACGTACTTTGTTGGCAGTTATACCAGGGGATGGCGATTTGAAAAGAGGACCGCGGAGGAGGGGCGTGGCCCGGGTCGGCCCGCGGTCCGGGAAGGCGCGGAAGACTTGGGGGAGAGCGCCCCCTGGCCGAGGGAGCCGCAGGAGCGACGTTCTCCCGGTGGGAGGGGTCAGTGTGGGGCAGAGCAGAGCAAAAGGAGGGCAGGGCGTCCCTGATGAGGTCTGCCTGGAGACAGGGGCCGGGTCCCCTGGAGCCTTTGAATTAGCAGGAAGGAATCGACAGGTTTTTATCCGAAGTGTGCTAGGAGGGTTTAAACAAGTGGAAAGATCCGGTTTATATTTTTTAAAGGCCGACCTCGTTGTTGAGCGGAGGTGGATCTGCAGAGGGCCGCCAGCGGAGCCGCGAGGGAGGGAGAGGCTGGGCTGGTCGCAGAGGCGGAGATGGTGGAGAGCGGTGGGACCGAGTTTATATTTTGATAGTGGGCAGCGGACCTGGTTTGCTTCGATGCAAACAGGCATCATCAGCTGCATGTACCTCAATACTTGGCTTTGGGGGACAGTGTGTGACCCACAATTCAACCCACCACTACCCATACCTCTCGTCTTGGTCCCCAGTGACTAGCAGGTCTCCCTTTCCCAGTGCTGTCCTGCCAGGACAGGGCGTCCACGGCACCTTCCGCTGAAGCTCCGGGGCCCCGCCCCTGCCCCCCTCTCCATAAGCCCAGGAAGTCTGTAGATGCCTCACTAGAAACTGGGACCCAGACTTCTTCAAACCCAGACATCGGTACCTTGAAACCTTGCCTACTGGCCAGTCTGCAAGTGGAAGAAGTCCCGAGATGCCCCTGGAAAAACTGACCCTGCTCTTTAGGCTGGACAGAGGCCCTTACCCCAGCTCCCTGAGGCCAGCCAGACCCGAGTCAGATCATCCACACCCCGTCCTTCCCTTCTGACGAGAGGGGTCTCCAGGAGGGCCAGCAGGCCAAGGCTGAGACCCTACCTGGTCAAGGTTTCAGAGAGAAGGGATCAGGGAATCCCTCGAAAGAAAGGAGGGTCAAGGTCTTCCATCACAGCAGCGCTGTCTTCCTTTCAAGGGCTTTGTTACTTGGGGGCTAGTACACTATTCCCTGCTGTCCCCCAACTCAGTCCTGGCCCTCACCGACCAGTGCCCCCAGGCCTTGCTGAAGAGCCCAAGGGAGAGTCCTTGGGCAGCGGTGGCTGACCCCAGCCCCCAGCACAAGCAGCCTGGAGGGATGTGGGCACCACATCCCTCAGTGAGAGATGAGAAAGAGTTAAACCGGAGATTCCTACCCCTACCCGCATCAGTTGGCCACTGGTCTATGCCCAGCTACCCTTAGCTCAATGCAGAGAACACTGGATCAGCTGGAGGAGAATCAACTATTCGAAATTTGCTCAAAATCTGAAAATGGTTTGCAGACTAGTGATGAACAGATAAATAACTAGCGGTGGGGGAGTGTGACTGGGATGGAAACATCATCTCTCCAACTACCGAATCAGATCATCGAATGGCGGGGAAAGGAGGCCAACCTTTCATTTTGAAGATGACAGAACTGAGGGTCAGTGGGGGTGGCAGGGGGTGGGGAGGTGACTCGCCCTGTCACACAGCTACTTAGCAGCAGGGCTGGGACCAGAACCCAAGATCTCAATGACAGGATGAGGAGCCAGACGTCCAAAGTGGAGTGTCCTTTCAGGAAACGACCTTATGAACTCACTCCTACCCAAACTGCCCGTCCCCTGCCTGGAAGGCCCTTCCCTCTGCCCCCAACTCCCCACCAAGTCTTAGGGTGAAGCCCCCTCCAGCACACGTCTCAAGATGCCTGCCCACTATGACTGACCCCTTTTAGCACTCAGCTTCCTTGGTGCTGAATCCCACCTGCATTTGAGCGCCTGCCCGGACTTAAAAATGGGTGTGGCGTCCCCAAGGAACACCGTCCACTCCTGTGTCTCTGGCGTCCGAGACTGGGCCCTCTCCTGTTCTCTGCCCCACATGCTGCACCTGACAAGTGGAAGGTCGGTCCCTCGAGGGGACTGAATCAGAGGCTCTAAACCACTTGGCTAATTGGTCCAATGACAAACAGACTTCATGTCCTCACCTAGACCTTTAGACGAGCTGGCAGGTCTTGGCCAAGAACCCACTTTCCCTTTGAGCCTCAGACTGCCCCCCGTGATGATGAACGCTGAGCGAGCAGGGCTCCGGCGCTGGCGGTGGGGACCTGCCCTGCTGCTGCGTGCTGCGTACCTCAATGGAGACACTCCCACCTCCACCGGATTTGAGCCACTGAGCAGCCAGTCGTTGGGAAGAGACACTGCTATTTACCCTTATGTTATATAGTACATGCCATTTACTACAGCTCGTACTGTTCCTGAAAACCTAATAACCGGCTCTCGGGAGCTAAGAGCTGCCCCCGCCAGGAGAGATGAGCGGCCCGTCCTTTGAACTGCGGCAGCCCGAGTCCTCGTTCAGAGGGGAGTGGATGTCTTCCCTGGGAACCCCGGGGTGGAGTGTGTGTGTGGGGGGGTGAGTGCAGGACTGTCCTGGTTGGCCTCTGGTGGCCACGACTCCAGAAGCAGAGGAGGGGTCCTCTCTCCAGTCATGTGTACAGGTGTAAACACCCAACTCCATAGGACGAGAATCCAATCACAAAGCGGGGTGGAGAGAGAGGACCAGACAAGGAGGACCTGAACACCCAGGTTCTAGTCCCCAGACAAGAACTCCCCGGGTTCCTAGCCCTGGATCTTAGGTCCATTCCTGGCTTCTTCTTCTTTTTTTTTTAATTTTTTAAAAGATTTATTTATTTATTTTTAGAGAGGGAAGGGAAGAAGAGAGAGAGAGAAACATCAATGTGTGGTTGCTGGGAGTCATGGCCTGCAACCCAGGCATGTGCCCTGACCGGGAATCAAACCTGCGATGCTTTGGTTCGCAGCCCGCGCTCAATCCACTGAGCTACGCCAGCCAGGGCCATTCCCAGCTTCTTGACTCCACTTCTTCCATCTGTACCATGGGGTAATTCACCACTCATACGGCCCACTACTTGCGGCTCTGGTGGGGAGGAGCAGCAGAAAGGGCCGTGGGAACAGGCCAGTTCCACACCAACTGAAGCTACGGGAGAAATCAGGCTGTGGAGGCAAGTTTCGTGTTGTCATTTACAGACTGAATGACCGTGGGCAACTTACCTGGCCTTCTTAAACCTGTTTCCTCATCTGTACTATGGGCAGCTGAGGTGCGCGTAGGAACAGTGCCACCAACCTCATAGTGTTGCTGAGGATCAAATGTGTTATGGGTCATCGCCTGTAACCAGATCCACAAAATAAGCCCTTCTCTCAGGGTTTTGTTTTAAAGATTTAATTTATTTTTAGAGAGAGGGGAACAGAGAAAGAGAAACATCAACGTGTGGTTGCCTCTCACGTGGCCCCCACTGGGGACCCGTCCTGCAACCCAGGCCTGTGCCCTGACTGAGAATTGAACTGGTGACCCTTTAATTTGCAGCCCAAACTCAATCCACTTGAGCTACACCAGCCAGGGCCTCTCGGGGTTTTATACAAACAGCCCGAAGGCCACCAGATGGGTCAGGAGGAGCGGGTGTGTCCAGATGGCCCGCCTGAAGGACAAGGCTCCCAGGGGGCAGATGGAGAGCCTAGAGACAAACTTTCCACAGTTCCCAAACCGAGGGTGTTCTGTACCACTTCCATCCAGCAGGAACGGGCTTCTTGAGACTTCTTGGTGAGATGCGCAACGGAAGGTTAAACTGTGGTGAGGAGCTGGCGCACACCGAGTGACGAGCGACTTCAGACCAGACGCATCCTCTCCTCCCCTCGTAAGTCACCCAAAGCTCTTTTTTCTTTAATATATTTTATTTTAGAGAAGGGAGAAAGCATGAGAAACATCAATGTGATTGCCTCCTGTAACACAACCCAGGGGGCTGAACCTGCAACCCAGGCATGTATCCTGACTGGGAATCGAACCCCAGAGCTCTTTTTATCTCCTCAAAGGAAAAACAAAACACTTTTGCAGGAAAAGATACAAAGATCCAGAGCTTCAATGCCTGAAATTTTTATAATGTTTCCAAGAAGTTACACCTCCCTTTAGAAATTGGAGGCCATTTCAGCTGGGAGGGGCTCTGTTAGGTGAAGTGTCCAGAGCCGACCAACAGCCGACCCTTGACACAGTCGGGTCAGATGAGACACGTCTGCACAGCAGAGGCGACTGTGGCTGGATCCCCTGTCTATCTCCTCCTGCATGCCTGTCCCTGCTAGCAATAGGTGGTGGGGTTTTTGGGTACCTGTGCGTTATAACAAAAAATCTGCACGATGTCTCTGATTCTGCGCGAAATGATTTGCTGACCACAGACCAGAAGTCCCTAACAATCCTAATGTTGCCTACTCCCCCCACCTGGGAAGTTAAGGACAAAATTAAACTATGGGCAGACCAGCTGCCAGAACGCTGGAGGAAGCTGTTGCTAGGAATGTCCCTTAAGGAGTCACCACTTAAAAGCTCAAGATTTATTAGAGCCACTACCCCTCCCATACCCTGGATAGGAATGTTTATTAATGGGACCAGGTGGGTAAAGCAGCAAGGAGTTCTAGTTGAATAATCTCAATACATGAAAACAAATACAAAACATGCCCCCCCCCAAGATGTATAAATCAAAAGACCTATGCAGGAAACCAGTTACCTAACCTAGACAAATCTAACCTCAACAGACAATAGCTAATTTCTATATAACCTATAAATCACCCCTTGCACCCTTTTAACTTAGACCAATCCCTAGTTACTAATTGGCACCTGAAAGTTTGTGCCCATATAGGTTCGTTGGCTGATTGATAACCCTCTTGGTCAGAATAACCTTTGTTTAACATGGTTTATCTGTGGGACCTCCTGTACTTTTCGGTTATTTCTTTAACATGATTGATCTGTAAAACCTTCTGTACTTTTCAAAGTTATTTCTATGATAACTGTTTAATAATCACACTATGCATTGAATGTTGTGTAACCTCCTCTATAAAAATAAAGACTGATTCTCCTCGGGAAGTTAGTCGGGCCCAAAATGCCCGACTGTCCTCCGGCACCCCACTGGGCGTCTCACTCCATTCACTTCGCCTGAGTCATTCCTCCTTTGGGGACCCAGGGACCCGCCAGGACTGGACTCTGGCAGTGAAGCTAATCCGAATGTGGGGGCCTCTGAGGGGTTATGACAAGGGGGAGGGTAGGGAAGGGGGGCCAAAGCAGCTTCTGAGATAAGGTATCCGGTTCCCTTTTCATCATGCTACCCCCCTGCTCACTACAACTTTCTCTGGTCTCCTCACCTTAAAAAAAAGAAAAAAAAAAAACACACAACAGCTCTTCACTGGATGCCAATACAACTGTCCCACCGACTAGTGGGTTGCCTGGGCTTTGGAGTCGAACAATGTGGGTGCAAACTCTGGCTCTGCCACTTACTAGCTATGAGATTTGGACAAGCCAGTCAACACCTCTGAACGCCTCGACCCCATTAACACAGCAGGAATGACTGCTGCACGGACCTCCAGGGGCTGTCGTGAGGAGAGGCTGAGATAGAGAGGTGGGTGAGGTGCTCATGCAAGTCTCAGCACCACGTAAACAGCCGACAAATGAAAACAGTGAAGTTCAATCGTTTTTATTACCAGCTCACCGCTCCAGCTTTCTCTCCTGTTGCTGCCCAGAAGGCAATGATCTGGAACGATTAAATTGCTCGCAGGTTTGGACATGACACCCACACTCTCGTTTTACACCTACCATGCTTTCTTGTGCTTTTCAGCACCTGGCACGCAGTGGGCACTCAATAATCTACAGGCTGAACATTTTGTCCAGAATTCCCTTCCCACCTTTCTTTACCTGGCAAGCTCAGTGCAGAGGTCGCTGTCCCAGGCTGTCCTGAACCCCTCGTGGGCACACTCTTCCAATGTCCTGTGTGCCACGTGCTGTTTCGTGGTCCTTTCCATGTGCTACCAACACTGTGCATGCCTTTCTTCCTTTGCAGACCATTAGCTCTTCTGAAGAGGCGGGTCTAAGGCACATGGGGTATTTGCATTGCCAATGCCTGAGCTTGTGGTAGGTGCTCAGTAAACGCTCAGTAAGGCAGTCACTCACCCCCAGGGTAGAAACCCACAATCCCAAACTCCTCCCTGGACCCACAGCCCTTTGCAGTGGGTCCAGCCACAAGCAGGCTTCCAACAGGTTAGGCCAACAGTTGGCCAAATCTGCATCCCACCCCTTCTCCTGAGTGAAGCCCCGGTTTTACCTTCCCCCTAAAACAGGAAACAAGAATGGGGAATTTCTTGAAATTCTCGTTTATCAAAGCTACTGTGGTTTGTGCTTTGGGGCATCTGTACTGTCTCCACTTGAACTTGGTCACCTGGAGGAGGAACTCAAGTGAGCTGGGAGCTGGGGGTGCCCTACAGATCTGGGCATCAGGGGTACACGCACAGCCTCTACATGCAGGCCATAGGAGTTGTACATTTGTTCTTCTGCCAGGCAGTCGGCGAAAGAAGGCAGAAATGATGTACTGTTCTCTGAGACTTTAGAACCGCCTCCAGATGCTATTGTGGCTGCCTGGGGGTGACTTGGAGGGGCAGCAACCATCCTATGGGAGCCACCGAAGGGCCAGGGTCATGCCTGGCTCACACTGAACTCCCAGCAACAGCAGTGCTCACTGCAGGACACACTCAGAGGCTATGGAAGAGAACGCTGGCTGCTCTCTGCCTGCGCTCCCTGCTAGTGAGTGTTCCGTTTGGGGAGACAGAAACTCCTCCTGGGAGGGCTCCACATCATCTTGCTTTGCCCACCTGCAGGCTGCCCGAAAAGAAGTCTTGCTGGGTTGGGTTGTTCCTTCCCTTTAAGCGGGGACTTACATCTGACTCAAAGTTCTAACAGGACAGTCTTAAGTAGAGAGTAAAATGACAGTGAGTCTTAGGAAACAGTCACTGTCCCACGATGACAGACGCTGGCACACCAGTGTGGCTCCCGCAGAGCTTAAAAATCAGTTCTGAGCCCCATACCCCGGATTCGAGACCCCCAACTACCTCCCACAACCACTCACAATTCTGAACCCGAACCACTCACTTCATCTCAACCTACCTCACATAACTGTCCCTGCGTATGTTTTTATCTTCATAACTACAGCTTCTAGAGGGCACAGAGATGTATTTCTTCCACACTCTCTTTAGCATCCAGCACACTGCTGGGCATGAAGTCGGGGGACTCGCTAATCCGTATTTCACACATTCCATTCCAAGGCCAAGCGCCCATCCACATTTCCACCCTATCAGTAAGAGATATTTCAGAGTGCCTGAATGTCAGGTTTTAGCTTCGTGGTATCTGACCAAACTTGTGTCTGATTTTTAACCTGTTTGTGGTCCTTTATAACGCACTGAAAAACCAGGCACACACCCTTGGCAGAGAGAGGGCTTGGGGAAATCCCTCAGCATGCAGTGTGGCCTCAGCAGCAGTGTTACTGGCCTGCCCTCGGCCCTGAGGCTTCTGCTCGGCCCAGGAGCATGTCCGCAACGGCCCCGTGACTTCTCTCAGCCTCCCCGTGGAGAAGGGGGAGGCGCCTGCGGTCAGGAACCTTGAGGTGCGACCCCCTGAAGTCTGAGGTAAAGGGAAAAATGGAATAAAGTCCTCCAGGAAGAAAAGCGCAGTCGGATTTTTGGGACTGATTTTATTTGGGCTTCTCACAGTGGTTAGAGCCACTCTGTCTGCAGAACAATCACAGCACAGGAAACGCGTCACTGAGACTGCCCAGAAAGGTCTAACCAGCTGAATCTTATTGCTTAAAATACACATATTCACAATAACTGACAAATGGTGATGTGCCTCACACAGGAATGTGTTCGCGTTTGCAGATCTGACTAGCACCAAACCCTCGGCCGAGACCTTCCTTCTCCACCCGCCCAGAACACCAGGCTCCATCCAACCTCCCGGCCCCTCGCGAGTCCTTCAGCTCCCCATTCCCGCCTCTCTCTGCGCTCGGGCGCCTCCGGGAGCAGGGGACAGGCTGGGGCTGCTGAGACACAGCCCAGTTCCCCGGGACCGCCAGCCTCTCCTCCTGCCTTTCGGGTGGGATGCTGCAGTGACCCTCACCACGCAGACTGGTTCCCCACCCTCACTGGGGAGGGAACCGTGAAGAGGGCCAGAATTCATCCATATGGTCAGTTCGCTGAGGGAGGATTCATTTTGGTAAAACTTGATCTCCCTGGAGACACCTCAGCGAGTTACTTGGGATATATATTTTTTTAATGGTGGAAAAAAAGGCATCTGAGGGCTGCTGACACACCCCGCCCACTCGTGCCACACAGCGGCTGGCCTGCTTGCAATGGGCCTCGGCAGGGGGCGGCAAGCCCTGCGGTGTCTGCCAAAGGCTCCCAGCAATCCTGGGCAGGGCTGCCATCGGGCCGCAGCTAGTCCACACTTGTCCCTGAAGATCCAGTCCAGCTTCGGTCTGAAGTTCCACCTTCACGTTCTGTCCCGAGTGGCTGCGGACACGCCCGCAGGGGGCTGATCTGAGGGCCAGGAGCTGCCGAGGGAGGCAGTCGGGGTCAGACCACATTTCCATCTACAGGGAACAGAACACAGGCCTCCGAGTGTCCACGGAGCAATGTGCAAATCGCAGTGACGGGCAGAGTAAAACCTGTACTTCGAGGGCAGGCTCCCTGGCGAGCACTGGGGACCGCCGTCGACAATGCTGCTGAATACACCCAGGTACACAGTCAGACTTTGTTCAGTAAACAGTAAATGCATAAAATAAATTACCTTGAGAGGGCCATATGCGCTCCGGCCTGTGATCGCCAGAGCAGAATGGCTGCCACTCAAAGCACGTTCACAGGACGACAGGGCGGGGGGCTCACACGCAACGGACAGACACACACCGGTCACCCGTAAAGTCACCGTGTACGGACTTCACTTTGTTCGACGTGGGGTTTGGTTTTGTGGAGTCCTGATGCGGTCACGCGCTCGCCTCGCGGCCTTGGATCTATCTATTTTTGTAGACATATGTATTTTTTCCCTTTCTTATCATAGTGTCAATGCCTAGTCTGAATGTCACCATTCAAAAGTGGGGGACAAACCGAACTCTTCCTAGAACGGGGCTGGGCGGGGAATGTTAACTTCGGCTGTCTGCTTTCTCCATTCAGATCATTCCTAACGAAGCTCACCCGGCTGTCTGAGGCTGAACCACAGCAATAAGGACCCTGTGGCCCTTCTGGACGGCTGCCTTCGCCCCCTCCTGGGCCACTGAGACTTTTTATGAAGGCTACACTTATCCCACTCTCGAGGAAGGGGGAGGGGAAGCACATGAAAACCACAGATAACCAAGGCATGTTTTTCCAAGTGGTCAGTTAAAAAAAAAAATTACTCAGGATCAAGAGAAAATACTGTGAGAGAGCCAGGCTATGGGGCTGCCCTTCCTCGGGGCCCACAGCCTCATCTGTTCATATACGACAGCGACACAGAAAGGCCCGCAGACTGTGTGCTTGGGGCTGGGGCGGGCACCGCCACCTGTGGGCACAGACCTATGGGCAGAGACGCAGAAAGCTGCGCCTCTACCTGCCACCGTGGCTTAGGGCCTCCTGAGCACCCACGTAAGTCCCAGGGATAACTCCCATCCAAGCCGGCACATGAAACAGCTCCTGGTTCAAGTACAGCCGGGCTCTGGGAAGGCCGACCAGGTAAAAGAGGCAGCCACAAGGCTTCCCTTTTCCAGGACGGAATTGTTGCCTGCTCACTGGTCAAGTTCTTGTTTTTAGCTCGATTTTGTTCTTTTTATTAAAAAAAAAATAGCCAAAAAGAAGGCAGTATAATCTCTACACCTGCAACGGTCTGCGGCCAGCCAGCACACGCCAGGCAGGGCCCCCCAGGGATGCAGTGATGCACTGACCTCGTCACCTGGAACCGGGGACAGCGACAAGCCCTTCCCCACTGACTACACGAGTGCCCGTCAGCTCTCGCCCTCCCACAGGATCAGACCGAGTCCGGCTCTGCAGGCGCTGGCAGCGAGGGGTGACAACCCTCAGCCAGGGCTGAGCCCGGCTCTCTCTCCTGGACTGACAAAGCAAGGTTCTCTTACACTAACAGCAGAGCAAAAATCCACTCCATCACCCAAAATCACCTCAGGACACAGTCTTGGCTCCCTTCCTTGGGGGCTTCGTAACACACATCTTCGACCCAAAGGTAGCGAGATATGACTTGAAAAGGGAAGAAGGGGTGGGGTATGAGGAATGAGTCACAGAACCAACTTCTCAGCCCTCCACAACAACGTGCTTATGTGGGGGGAGAGGCACCCCAAACTGTACCTGGAGATGCAGAAAAATGCAGGAACCAAGGCGGAAAAGGAGGGGGGAAAAAAAAAGAACCAAGTGGCTGTCCCACTTTCTCTGAAAGTCACTTAATGCTTCTTTCGTGGTTCTCCCCTACCCTGGTTGCTTCGCCAAGTTCTCGGACACAGGCAGGGCCTGCTCTAGCTGGGGGAGCTGCTGCTCTGGGGGTTTGGGGAGTCCTGCTCATTGATGGTGTTCAGCAGCAGGCATGCGGGGGGCCGAGGCAGGTGGGGATGCCCGTGATCGCAGGCCTGCTCCTCAGAGGGCTGGCAGAGCCCTTCCTCCTCATCACCAGGGGGTCGCACGTGGCAGCTGTCGCAGAAGTCCAGGGGTCCATCCAGAGCGTCGTCGATGAGTGCGTTGAACTCCTTGAGGTCGTCGTCGTGGTGGCCCCGGTTGCACACACACACCTCAATGCCCGAGTCACCGGTGAAGCGGCGATGCCTACCAGGCGTCTTATCCTTGCTGTCGGGGAGGGCGCTGCCCTGCTCGCAGCTGTAATCTTTCAGCAGCTCCTCCTTACACTCAGAATCCTTGTCCAGGAAGCCCCCAGGGGCCAGTTCCCCCAGGCCGGCCACAGAGCCACAGGGCTCCATTCCAGGGGCTTTGGTGGCTGCCGGGTTGGCCGGCATGTCGATGTTGCAGGGCTCAGGATCAGCGATGATGCTCGGGGGTCTCGTGCTGCTTCTGCTGGGCCCAGACAAGGGGCTGCTCTGCGCCCCCTGGGAGTCCCGGGTGGGATCGGCGCCTGGGGGACTGCCGCCTGCAGGGCCGCACTGTGCAGACAGCTGCTGCTGCTGCTGTAGCTGGAAGGCACTGTATGGTGGGGGAGGAGTTGGAGGTCGGTTCACCACTTCCTCATAAGGAGGTAGTAAGTAGTTTGGCAAAAACCCTAAAGTGGGGAGGTAGGGAGGAGAAATTACTGCACTGGCAATTGATCCGGGACAGAGACAGTAAACTCACGTCTCTCCCACCCCCAGCACACCCCCCCCAGTGACAGCTACAGCTCCTGGTATGGGTGGGGCAAAGATCTGGGGGAGTAACCTAATCTAGCTTCTTGAAACCCGAGAGCCCCTAAAGCTGCTTCATAGGCAAAGATTCCTGCCTGTCTGGTCTGGAGCGAAGGCAGAGGGTTAGGCAGATAGGGTGGATGGCCAAGAGGAGGTCACTGCTGCCTGGAATAGGCCTGCCTCCACAGGCACGCACACCTCGGGTTTCATGGTCAGACTGTCCTCCATCTATGTCCCATGAGCCTTGGGGTCAGGGACCCAAACTTAAGACTCTCTGACCACTTTTTTCAGGAGGTTAGAAATCTGTGTTGTCTCACTCTAGTGTGGCTGGAAGTGAGTGGTCTGGACTGACTGAGATCAAGAGCCAGTGGGTTACCAGTGAAGGGTGGGGGCCTGTGATGCAAGCTTTATTAGGAACTGTCAGGTGAGCCCTGGCTGGTGTGGCTCAGTGGTTTGAGTGCTGGCCTGCGAACCAAAGGGTCGCCTGTTTGATTCCCCATCAGAGCCCATGCCTGGGTTGCAGGCCAGGTCCCCTGTTGGGGGTGTGCAAGAGGTAACCACACATTGATGCTTCTCTCCCCCTCTTTCTCCTTCGCTTCCCCTCTCTCTAAAAATAAATAAATAAAATCTAAAAAAAAAAAAAGAACTGCCAGCCGAGTTATCTTTGGACGGTGCTGAATGCCTTGGGGCACTGATGATCTAATTGTATAACAACAATTGTTAGCATTTACTGAGCACTTGCTACACGCCAGGCACTGTGCTAAGCACTTAACTTTCCTAGATGTGAAATCCCACATTTGTGGTCACTTTCTTCTGTGGAACACTGGCAGAATGGCCCTGGACAAGCTGCACAGCTGGGCCTCCACCTGACCATTTGAGAAGTCATCCGTACGGAGGCCCAGGGACGCCAGGCGAGTGCCCTTCAGTGAGTCACCGAATGCCTTGATTCTCAGGAAGTCCCGGTGTCACCCCCTACACCTGCCTCTGTCATGGCAGCCTCTGCTCAGCACATCACGTAGCAGTAAGCAGAGTGGGGGGCTCTCGGACCACTAAGCTCTACACCTCAGTTCACTCCCCTTGCACGCACGCTACCCAACGACCTGCCTAAAAGAAAACCTGCTAAAGCAGCAGAGACTTGGTCCGAGTTCAGCCAGGGTAGGTTTGGAAGGGCCCAATGGCTTCAAGGAGCTGCATCCACAGCTCTGGTTCTTCTGTGCTAAACGTGACCGCCCTCTTGTTCCTGTAATTTCGAAACCCTGCTCTGTGCTGGGCAAAGGGGCAAAAACCCGGATGCTCATGAGAGCCCTGGCTACCGATACACACAGTCTGTACATCCTGGGCTCCAGAGGGTGGGGTCGGGGAGCTTAGGGTATACGTACTGAAATAAAATGGCAGCGCTGAGTAATTGTGGGCTTCCCGGTAGGCAATCAGGTTGATTTCATGCTGCCGCTGCTGGGCCTGAAGGCGGTGCTTGGCTCGGCGGTGGTGGCAAACACAGCAGCAGCTCAGGATGATGATGATGGTCCACACCAGCCAGAACCCTGGGGGTGGGGAAGCAAGACAGAGAGGCAGGGACTGAGTGAACACCAGCCCGACGGGCAGCTCTCAGAACTGGGAGGTCCCCAGCAGCACCAGCCTGGTCACAGCTGTCACTGTCAGGCCTCACTCAGTGAATTCACATTTAGAACCTGCTTTTCATTTTTTTTAATTTATTTCAGAGCCCTGGATGGTTGTGGCTCAGTGGATTGAGAGTGCCAGCCTGTGAACCCAAAGGTTGCTGGTTCGATTCCCAGTCAGGGCACATGCCTGGGTTGTGGGCCAGGTCCCCATTTGGGGAGCTGCAAGAGACAACCAATTGATGTATCTCTTGCACATCAATGTTTCTCTCCTCTCCTTCTCCCTTCCTTTGCTTCTCTCTCAAAAATAAATAAATAAATAAATAAATAACCTTAAAAAAAACTGATTTTCAAGAAAGAGGAAGGGAGAGAGAGAAAGAGAGAGAAACATCAATTTCTTGTATGTGCCCTGGCTGGGGGATCAAACCCACAACCTTGGTTTATGGGAGCGATGCTGTAAGCAACAGAGTTGCCTGGCCAGGGCAACCTGCATTCATTTTTCATAAATGTCTGGGCCACAGTGAAAGACACACGGGATGGCAGAGGGCAGGACTGTCAGGAGGACAGCCGAAGTCATGCTGGGAGTCTCCAGGGACCTCGGGGGAAGGCAAGAACGCCAAGGCGACGCTCCAGCGCCACGGGTCCTCCCGTAACTCAGGTCTGGTGGGCATTAACTATGCTCCCCTTTTCGGACAGCACACTCTTCCTCTCCCAAGAGATCTCTGAGAAAATGCTTCAGCTTCTCTAGTGCCCGAAGGACAGCTCCTGTGCTCACTTCCTGTTGCTGACACCAGGCTGTTTACCAAATGCAAAGGGCCTCTCAAAATCCCCACAGCTCAGCTCCTTAGCAACTGCAGGGGGCCTCGGAGGGGCTGCCTGATAAATTCTTCCGGGCTCTCCAGATACCACCAAAAAGTTCTAGGGCTTTTCTTTACCATGTACACCCGGGGACCAGAAGGGTCCTAAAGTCAGAGGTGGAAAATTCTAATTGCCGCAGGTCCAGCTCTTCCCTAGGGAGTGCAAATGACTTCCTCGGCTCCTGACAGAGTCCAGTACAATTCCACCTCCCAGTGTCACACCCACGATCTGCTCTACCTCCTCTGACCTGCAGCCGCACCAGACTCAGGGCCATCAGCAGCCTCCCTTCTTCCTCCCTGCTCCCTGCAGGGGGACAGAGAAGACCCAGCCCCCTTTCGTTCGGGGGCATTTCTTCTCACTCCCCACTGGTTCCCTTGGTTAGTTATTCGGGGTCTCCTGGCTAACTCCAATAGAAGACCCTCCTCTCCAATTTTCACATGTATGCAGAAACGTCTTCTAAGTATCTAGTTAATGAGCAATTTTACTTTGGAATATATAAACATATGGGGAGAGACTGGAATAAAAATCCACAGAAATAGTGACTTATCTTTAGTGAGATTATGACAAATTTTAATTTTCTTTTCCCAATTATTTTCTTCTTTCAAATTATAAAACTGGAAACAAAGTAAACCAAAACAAAATATCTGTGATTAATTTTACTTTTGCTGGCTATTATTTTAAAACTTACTATATTTCTGGATGGGTTTTTTAATTCTTCTGGGAATATATTCATATGATGATATGAGTCATCACAAAATCATTCGTAGGTACTGTATTTTGACATAAGGATGTTTCTGATATTAAACAAGAAAGGTAACAAGACAGTGTAAAACATGACCCCAATTTTTGCTTAAAACAAGCCTATGTAAACATCTAGAGGGACGATCAGAGAGTTAATCATGAGGTTATTACTGGAAAACAGGACAATAGGTTTTCTGGAACCAGCTCCCTCATTTTTTGCTTATCCACATTTCCTAACTTTCCTAAGATGAATGTGTACTTCCTTGAAGTCACAAAGAAACTTATCTGAGGCCCTGGGGTGGCTCAGTTGGTTGGAGCCTTGCCCTGGGCACCAAAGGGCTCGGGTTTGGTCCCAGTTGGGGCGCACGCAGGAGGCAACCGATGGATGCTTCTCCCTCCCGTCGGAGTCTCAGTCTCTCTCTCTCTCTCTCTCTCTCTCTCTCTCTCTCTCTCCCCGCCCCCCTGGAATTAATAAACTCATACGCTTGGGTGGGGCTTTAAAAAAAAACTATCTGAGGAATAATTTTAAGATGAGTTATTTTTAAATGAGAATAGATTATATTTTTGTTCATTTATTCTCTATTCTTGAATAACTTTAATTTTTTCCATTACAAATGCTACATCTATTTTTTATCATCTGCTTTGTAATTATAAATCTGTGCTTAGAATTTGTTAAGTATTTCCACATGTATCTCTTGCCAGAATGAGTTAGCGTCGTCGTTGTTTTTTTAAAGGCTCTCTTCTCCCTACAGACAGTAAATAAATAGACCCTGATCTCTTTTTTTTTTTTTTAACATTTGTACCAGAACACAATATTCTGAAAGATCCCAGTGACATTTAGGGTGTGGCCTCTGGCAACAGCTCTTTCTGTCCCCCAGGGGTGTCCCCCCTGAACCTCCCCACAAAGCCACCCTTACAGGGTGATGAGACAGCGTGGGGTACTGCCGCCAGGCTCTGGCAAGCTACTCGACACCTATTGCTCATGGCCCATGTCAGGGTCGGGTGGAACTTCCAGCGAAAGCCTGGCCACAGAGCAGGCTGAAGGGAATGGGCGGTGGACTGTTCCCACCGGCAGCCAGAAAAGCCTCATTCCTGGCCAGAGAACATGAACATGAGCTGAAGTGAGAAGTCTCCCTTGCTGTCCCCCCTTCCCAGGTTCACTACGGACTTGTGCTCATCTGAACTTGCCCTTCTCTCCCACCGCTGGCCGACCGAAGCCTAGACAGACACTGTTAGGGGAGCCCTCGGAGAACGGCGCTGAGGCCAGAAAGGAGCTCTGGGAGTGGAGCAGCTGCCTGCTGCTGACCTGCAGCATCCTCTGGAGGGGGAGGGGGGCTACCTCGTTAGCTCCCAGCCTCCTGGGTGGGGGCGGGGGGAACTGGGGTGCACTGCCCTCCCGCAAATAAGCACAGTGCACTCTGCTGAAGAGCCTGATGCCAGGTGAATTTCAAAGTCAAAAAGATTCTTTTTATATTACCTATAGTCTTGTTACATTTTCCAGTTTAATCCCACAATCCTTCATAGTTCTCTTACTTGATAATTTAGAAAGCACATTCTCCCATTAGATAATCAACATTTAATTCTACTTTCAACTTTCATGCAGCAAAATATATGATCTAAGGCAATATTTCTCAGATTTTATAACATGCTTAAAACAAACCAACAAACAAGCAAACATGCTTTTGCCCTGGCTGGTGTGGCTTAGTTGGTTGGACCAAAAGATCTTGGGTTCAATTCCCAGTCAGGGCACATCACACGCCTAGGTTGCGAGATCGGTCCTGATAGGAACGTATGAGAGGCAACCAACGTATGAGAGGAAACCAACTGATGTTTCTCTCTCACATCGATGTTTCTCTGCCTTCCTTCCTCTCTCTCCAAAATCAATAAGCATGTCCTCAGGTGAGGATAAAATAAAGAAATAAAAATTAAAAAATCAAAAGTTCATGTTTTTAGTAGGAAAATGGCATTGGTTTTCAGGCTAGCCAAAGCCCTAGAACGGGTCTCCCTGCTTCTGGGCATACGGGTAGGTTGAACTTCCCCACCCCCTTCTGATTGGGTGAGGCTTTGAGATGGATTCTAACTAATGAATTGGGATTGGAAGTGATATACGTCTCTTAGAGGCCAGAACATTTCTTGCATATATGGGACCCTCCAGGAGTCTTCCTTCTACCATGGCAATCGACAGCATTCTAGACAGTGACTTCAGGGTCAGTTTAGCCCCAGAGGATGATGAAGTGGGAACAAAGCCCCCAGCTAACCTGTGATGGATGTATTGTAGTGTGAACGACAAGTAAACCTACTGTCTGTCCACCAGGACCCTGGACTTGTTTGTTCCTGCAGCATAACCTGTCCTATCCTGACTGATGCAGTGAGTTTATTCACTTTTTTGGGCGAGTGGATTTAAAGGGTTTGGCAGGTTCTTAAGCAGATCCTTGATCCAGAAAAAAGCTGAGATCCACTGAACTAAAAGTATAATAGAAAATGAGGGCTTAAAGAAAATCAGGCAGGTCAGAAGGGGCATGGGGGAAGAAAAGACAACTGGATCATTCATGTGGATCACACTGGCAGAAAACTAACTTGGGAGCAGAACGGGTCCGGTGATACAATGCGGTATCAGCACAGGTCCAAACAAGAGCCCCAGTGAACTGACCCCACTTCGTGGATGGCAGAAGGCCTTCCTGTCTGACCCTCACAAGACAGACCGTCCTGGGAGCCCTTCTAGTCAAAGCAGTGTCCCCTCAATTTTAAAATGGGGAATATCCAGACTGGTCTCTATGGAGTCGTGCCAATTTTTGATCTTTTTGCTAGATTTCACAAACAAGGAAGAGCTTCAAATAGGAAAATTTAATGAAGGAGACACACACAACAAAAGACAAAAGCACACCCTCCTTCCCAAACATATACCTACCCAGACATTACATTCCCAACGAAAGTTTGAAATTCATGACCTCGTGTTAGGGAGCACTTGTCATGCTAAGCAAAATGGAAACACATTTTTAAAGACAACCCCAGTCCGATGTAGGCACTGAGTCACATGCCCCAGAGCTCACAACGAACAAACTTGGGAAAGCACCCTCTCCGCCTGGCAGGGAGTTCCTCATTAGGAAGCCAAAGCATACTGTGAGTCAGCTCTCCTTTGACCCTCCTCCGAGGATGGGGGGTGACCCTCTGGGCTCCTTATACCTTTCAGCAGGAGCTCCAGCCACTGTCACTGTGGCTGGGAAAGAGCCTGCACTTGGGAAATGAAGACTTTAGAGGGCCTGCAACCTTATCTAACGGCTGGACAAGTTTCCTGTAAGCGAGACTGCAAACAGAAAACGGAAGAGGCAGACAACCTGGGTTCAAATCCCAGCTCACCAAACCATTTCCTAGCTTTATGACCTTCCCTCCCCTGTAAAACGGGGAGAATATGCTCTACTACTTGATCATTAGGAGGAAAATTAGCTAATTAATGTATGCAGAACACTCAGAGCCGTGCCGGGGTCCAGTAAGTTCTCTGGCTTATTGTTACTGCTGCTGTTACAGGCATGGCCACGGATGGCAAGGGTTTCCTTTCCACTTCCCTTTTAATCCATAAAAAAGCAGGAGTCAGGAACAAGTCCAAAGTCTGCTTCTAGGTTCTACTCTTGGCCAAATTCATCGGAAAACCAGCCCGCCTGCTGCTGACTGATTTGTCTTTGTCCCAAAGCCCAGACGACTAGGGAACTGGGGTCCAGTGAGGGCTTGGAGAGAGGCCCCAGCACCCTACTCTCCACTTCGCTCTGCGTGGCAAGTGCTGTGGGCCTTCCTTAAGAGCAGTTCAATGGGTGTCTTAAGACAAGCTAAAAATCATCCTGGCTGTGTAACTAGGTTGGTTAGAGGGTTGTCCTAACACGCCAAGGTTGCGAGTTCAATTCCTTCTCAGGGCACATATAGGAATCGACCAATGAATGCCTAAATAAGTGGAACAACAAATCAATGTTTCTCTCTCTCTCTCTCCTTTCCCCCCTTTCTCTAAAATCAGTAAGTTAAAAAAAATTTTAAGGACAAATTAAAAAAAAAATGTTAGTATGTGAAAAGCTGTTCAGCACTAACTGGATTTACTAATAATGTGCTTCATGTCATCTCTGGGAAATTCCACTGTGTGGAACACTCCTCCATCCCTTATTAAAGGCCAAACCAACGAAAACTGAGGCCTCATTGGTTTCCCAAAATCACCTCAGGAGCAGAAATTCCCAACTCTGGCCTCTCCCTGGAAAGTGGAGCTGGATGAGTGGGAAAGCACTGGGATGAGAGCTGGGAGGTCCGGGCTCAGGCCCTTCGGCCTTGAGTATGTTCCCAGGCTCCCGGGGCCTTGGCTTTCAGCCCTTCTCTCTGGTCCACGAAGTGCAGCCTTCGGTGGGAGTAAACATGCACACCCGAGACCCTCCACGACCTGGGCCCTTCGTCCTTCTGACCTGGCACTCGGAGGGCTTTGGAGTGAAGGGCACTGACCTAACTACTTGGCTGCAGAGCCCTGGTCCAGAGACATGGGGACGCTAAGTGCATCTAGAAGGGTGTTCTCTGGGTGAAATGAGATGATGTACGTGCATGAAGACCTCACTTAGTGCCTAGCACTAGGAGAGTTCTGTGTACATCAGAAGGGTACATGCACCCTTCTTACCGCCTATTTCTTCCCAGTCAAGCCCCAGGGGAAAGGTTAACGTGAGCCACACTCTGTTCTTTCTCATGCGGCCTTGACCTGTGGTGCTGTGCCTTGGCCTGAAAAATCATCCCACCCTCCCCATGTGTTTAAACCCTGTCTCCCTTTAAGACCCGCTGCACACACTGCCTCTTCCACGCAGCCTGACTCCCGTCCAGACAAAGAGAACTCTCCTTTTGAACACACACGGCATTTCTGGCAAATACATTCCACTCTCTGCTTTGCGTTACTACTGGGACATCTTGTCGGATCTCCTCTGCTAGGAGATGCCCTTCTTGATGGCAAGGACTGTATCTGCCCAGTTTCTGACACAAAAGAGGCCAGAGCATCTGGTAGGAACTCGTTGGAATTGCAAATCCTCGGGTCCACCTCACACCCTATTGAATCAAAAAATCTGGGAGAAGGGCCCAGAAAACCGTGTTTTAATGAGCCCTCCAGGAAATTCAGACACTTGCCAAAGTTCAAGAACCCGTGTTATAATAAGGGTTTGCTGAATGAATAAATGACTAGACGATGAGTTAAAGCACAAGTGCCATAAAAATGTGCAGGCTGAAAATAACAATAATGACCAGACCCTTACAGCCTCAACCACTGCACGGAAAAGACAGAACCTTCACTTCCTGTCTGACGCAAGCCCAGGAATGACTGCTGGCTGAGGTCACAAGAGGCTGAGAAGGCCTGGGGGAAAGGGTGCTGGCTGAAGCTCAAGGTCTGCACATGCTTGTGTGTCTGTGTAAAGTGGGGGTGGTGGGGGTGGTGGTGGTGGTGGTGGTGGTGGTGTGTGTGTGTGTGTGTGTGTGTCACAGACAGAGACCGCATCACACAGGAGAATTCAGGTAAAATGGTTGGTGGAAATGGCGTTTCCACCCCCCTCCCTTTAAGGCCCTCTGCCAAGGATTTCCTGGCTGAGATTTTCCTTCCAAAGTAGAGAGACAAAGAGAATAACCCATTACTTTCACATTTTAGGCAACCATTTAGAGGCAATCAGAGGGAACAGGGTTCAAGGCCACAAAAAGTACAGTCTTGATGAAAACTGAAAGGGCTCGTTCCAACACTCAACCTCTCCCTGAGCACATCAGGCAGAGGTCAAGATCCTAATAAGGAGGAAAAACCAAAGAATTCCCTGAGGGCTAGGACACTCCCTGAGCATCTCCTGACCAAGAAGCCATTTCTGGGCCCAGAGAGGCAAGTTTTGCTTTTACAATCTCCATCCCCGATGGTGAGTCTTTTCTCCTCGTCTAGACTCTGGGTTCTGCCCGGCCTACCACAACTGGAGAGAGAAGGAGCCACTTGTGCCGCTCTTCCTCTAGCTTTTTTTAAGCCCTTGGGGTGAAGTGCCTGACTCCCAGCATGCCTCCCTGCCACCTGGGTCTCCTGTCCCCACCACTCCACTACCCTGCCCTGGCTTGGGTGACCCAATTCTGGTGGCTACTGAGTCCACTCTGCCAACAGCCCAGGAGGCTCTGTCAATCTGAGATGGAGCCGTCAACTCAGTCCCTTCCCGCAGCTGACGCGCCTGGGCCAGGCCCCAGAAACATGGACTGTCGGCTCCGGGGCTTTCTGGCAGCCCAGCTCCGACCTTTGTTTTAACAAGGGATAGGAGGGAGAATTGGAATCCTGTGGTTGTCTGCACTTTAAAACATTTAAACAGAGTCTGTCTACCTGCTTGGTACTTTGTGTTCTCTGGTGAGTCCCACAGCCCCACCCCTTCTATTACAAAACAGCAGCAACAATTCTGGGGCGGGGGGAGGAGTCTGCTCTAGACGGCCCCTGGGAGTCCTCCGTCCTCAGAGGAGAAGACCAGGGTGAAAAGAGGTCCTGTTTATGAGAAGCACTCCCACTGGCTACAAAAACCACTTGCATGTAGAGGGAACGTCTTCCCAGCTAAGAGTCCAGTTTCCATTCCGTACCAGACAGCAGCCCCTCTCACTGCTTTCTGACCATACCACTCACTGATGCGGGGGGACAGGGGAAGACGATGGGGGACACCTTAGGGGGACGGGGCAGAAGCAATGGTGGCAACAAGGGCACAGTTTGGCAAACAAGCCCAAAGCTTGTTTCCAAATGGGGGAAGTGAGGAGGACGCTAAAAACGATCTGGGGAAAGGTCTACTGTTTCCCTTCTCCACAGACAGCTGCTAGAACCACTGCCACGCTGGTCACGTGGGGCTCTCTCATCCTCCCACTCTTCCCATCCGTCCAGCATCCTACAGTGTCTGGTCTGACTTCCCCGAGATCAGAGCACAAAGCGTGCCAGTGAAGTCTGCAAGGCTGGGTCCCTCCCTGAAGACCACAGCCCTGTCACCACCCTTGTGCACCTCTGGAAGGGGCAAGTGGTCCTGACCTCCACAAACTATTGGCGAGACAAGAATTGCCTCCATGGGGCATTCAGCTCATAGGAGTAACAGGGTGGGTGCCCTGGAAAAGCCGCCAGACACTCCAGGTTGAGAGCTGGGGAAAAAACACAGGGGGCTCCCCCTGTCCAGGAGAGAGGGGGCTACAGAATGACATCCCTTGGAAACGGAGGCAGCTCCTTGATGCTCCATGGGGTATTCTGAAACTTTGTGGTTGTTACTTAAAAAGAAAAAAAAAAAAAAGAAAGAAAAAAAAAGAAAAGGATTCACAGCCATTCAGAGAGCCTGGCTCAGCACCCATAGCAGCTCGGCTGCTGCAACCGCTTCACAAAGAGGGCAAGCCCAGGAGTCTGGAGCCACCCATGGAAAGACCTCGGGGGCTGGCTGTCCCTGATCGGCACACACTGCGGAGAGCGTCAGAGAGAACTCAAGCAGTAGCTTCTGCAGCAGACCCGGTAACCACAGCCTCTAAGAAGACTCGGAGCACATCCTGCACCGCTCAGCCTGCGGCACCCGGAGAGCACCAGGGCTCTCCTCCTCTATAGAAGCACCTCTGGAACCTGGAAATGGGCTCTACTCGCCAACACCGCCCCCAAGGGAATGAGAAAAAGGGCTGCCCAGTCCATGCCTTTCCAACGGGCAGACACACAACCAGGGCCTGGGACCCCAGGAAGGCCCCAGGCAAGGACTTACACCAGAGTTCATAGTAGTAGTTGCAGCACTGAGACTGTCCACAGCAGTGTCCAGTGTCACAGATGTAGCTCTGATTGTTGGTGCCCACACAGGTTTCCTTATCCTAAAAAGAAAAAAAAAATTAGCATATTAAATGATAGCCTTTTAAACACTACTTCTCTCGCCCTGGCCAGTATGTCTCAGTTGTTTGGACATCTTTCTGCAAAAAGAAAGGTCGCCGGTTCGATTCCCAGTCAGGGCACAGGCCTGAGTTGTGAGTTGGCTCCCAGTCAGGGCAGGTACAAGAAGCAACCAATCCATGTTTCTCTCGCATGCATGTTTCTCTCCCTCTCTTTCTCCCTCCCTTCCCCCATCTCCAAAAATAAATAAATAAAATCTTAAAAAAACAAATACCACTTTTCTTCTCATTCCCCTCTTTCTGGTCATCTGCCTACCCTTCACCAAAATGGTTTGTACCGACATTTATTCCATTAAGAAAAAAAACATTAGAGAGAACAAGCAGACTTAAGGAGGAAAGCCCTTTGTTTACTGCGGAGAGCAGAGGTCTCCTCAGACAGGGTTCTGTCACCCCTTTTTCATACCCAAGCAGAAGCACTCGATGTTCTCGTGTTATTGAAACCCAGCTGGTAACATGGTGCTGCCGCCTCTGTAATTAGCAGCGGTTTTAAATGAGAGCAGCTTTTCTGTGCAAGTTCCTAGAACAATTAACGCAGTATGTACTCCAAGACTAGGCTCAGCATCTCGTTAGTCATCCCGCCCTCCTTCAAAACACACGATCTCCAAGGTTAATTATCGGATGATTCAAGAGAGCTAAAAACCACTGCTACTAAAACTCTTCGCTTTTAAGGGGTGACCCGCTAGAGGGACCTAGTCCAGTTTCGAGCCGCTAGATCATGTGTTGCGTATCGAATGATCTCCGAATACTCTCGGCTGGATCTGGGATTCGTACTGTCCCTCGTCAGGGGCGGCTACGGAAAGGGCGCTGCTGGGCGACAGCCCAGCAGTTTGCCAGATTCCGTTCGCAGCGCTGGGGAATGGGGATGGAGGTGGAAAAGGTTTTTTTATATTTCACATTTAAAAGATGAAGTGTCCCACCGGCCAACCTGACCTTCAGCCCAGCACGTTCTCTGGACCACCATGTATATGAGGAGACCCAGAGGTCACTTGCTCTATCTGGCTTTCAACTTCCTTTATTCTAAATCAGTAACACGTGCGGTTCCTGGGCACCTCTTTGTGCCAAGCACCGAGCTGGGTACGGGGGGCATGCAAAGATAAATAAATAAAACAGTGCCCCTGTGCTCAAGAAGCTCAGCGTTAAGAAGGGGAAAAGCCCTGCTCAGCAAAGAAACGAAAACCACGGTATAGTATTTGCTGCTACTCAAGCTGACCCTGCCCACAGTGCACATCCAGGTGGATGCCTGCCAGTGGAAACTGAGGTCACGTGGTCGGCTCCTCCTCTCCTGGCCTGGCTTCACCTGGCTGTCTGCTTGGCCAAGGGTATAAACAAGGCGTGCCAGCGACTGTCCACAGGGCCAGAGGCTGGGGAGCAAGAGTACAGGCACCAGGAGCCGCGGGGAGAGAAGGGCTAGAAACCAGACCCCTGGCCCAGTGCAGGTGTCCACCACACATCCTCAGGCGTTTCCTGCTCCTTAAAGGGTCTTACACCCAGTGTAAAGGGGTTTACGAAGAAGGAAACATGGGAAATGCATTTTAAACTCTGACAACGAGCGTTTCACAATACCGCAAACAACCCTCCCTTCCTCTGCCTTCCTGTGTCTGCCACGGACGGAACGCAACCACTAGTGGGGGGCTGTCCAGTGGGCCTTCTGCTGTGAGGCCTGGAGCCCGTGGAGAAAGCAGATCCGTGCTCACTCCTGGTAGGACACGCACTCTCTGACTTCAGCGTAAAACACAGCTTTCATTAGGACGTCAGAAGTTTCTCCTGAGCCCTGGCAGGTGTGGCTCAGTTGGTAGGAGTGCTGTCCTGTACAATGAAGTCACTGGTTCAATTCCCTGAAGATAGCGGGTTGGATTTCTGGTCGGGGCACATATGGAAGGCAACCAACGTTTCTCTCCTCCTCATTCTCTAACTCCCTCCCTCTAAAAATCAATCAATAAATACAATAAAAAAAAAAAAGGAACCAGTGATACTTCTGCCTTGGGAAAATTCACCAGATGAGGTCCAGGCTCTGCACACACAGCAGCCACCTGGTCCTCAGTGAGGTGTGGAAGGGAATGTGTTTGAAATCTAAACAAGTGGCTTCCTCATGACCTACTGGTGTCGGCTTTTCTCTTGGCTCTTCCTCCCCCCAAGGCAGGAAGCCTAATATCAACAGGACCCCACTCTCTTTTCCAGGAGAGCAGAGCTGCAGCAGTGATAGGGGACTTAACAGTTGGAAAATTTTAGTTTAAGTAATAGCTACTAAGCTTAGTAATTAATGCAAGTAAAAGCTTTTGTTCCAGGAACTGAAGGTATGACCCACCCTGACTCCAGGAGACCATAAGCAGTTCCACCTTTGTTCCTCAGAGGGACTGCAAGCAATTCAAGATGGTATTTGAGCCATTGTGCTCTGATGGTGAGAGGACCACAGCCCAGGACACAGCTAGAGACCACCGCCTGGGGCACAGCTTAAGACCAGGGCCCAGGGCGAGAATGCATAAGTTTGTTTTTTTTTTAATCCAATGAACTTTCCCCTGAATTCCAAACCCCTTACCTGCACTGTGTTCTCCTTATAAAAAGGGCCATTTTAAAATGGAATTTAAGATGGTCTGTTAGGGGATGAACCCATCGTCTTCTCAGATCACCGGCCACCTGAATAACGCGCCCATAAAGACTCAATCCCTGTCTCTGCTTATTGGGTCTGGTAGTGACAGGCAGCCTGAACGCCGGTGTCTTTCCCCGTCCATTTCAGTAGCACCCTTTAATCCAGAGTTCTTCGGACACTTTTTGACCAGTATATCTTATCCCCTGTTCTCCCTCTGGCCCCAGATAGAGTCCCCCAGCTGCCTGGGACAGTCTTGATTATGAAAACTGCCATTTTTCTGCTGCAGGAGAAAGGAAAGACGACGGGCAGTTAAAAATATAAGTATATAAGTGGGCTCACAGACCTTTAGCAAATTAAAAAATGAAGATTGGGGTAGTAGGTTGTAAGTGTCAAGAAGAACTCCTCCAGGGAGAGGGGTTCAGGAAACTTGGTTTTGGTCCGCCCCAGCTCTACCACAATAGAGGAACGTGATTTTGGGTAAACTACTCTGTGGCCCTAAGACTAGTTAAGGTGCTCTCTAATGTCCCCTTCAACCCAAAAGGCTTTATCATCCTACCCACCACACGTTCCCTCTGACAAAAGGGCTCTTGAAATCTATGTCTCCCCCCAAAGTGACAGCAAAGGCCCTGGCCAGTGCGGCTCAGTTGGTTGGGCATCGCCCCACAAAGTGAAAGGTTGCTGGTTCGACTCCCAGTCAGGGCACATGCCTGGGTTGCATGCAGGTTCAGTCCCTGGTCGGGGAGCACACAAGAGACAACCAACCGATGTTTCTCTCCCTCTCTTTCTCCCTCCCTTCCCCTCTTAAAACAAAAAAGAAAAAGAAAAAAAAAAAACACCACCAACAACAAAAGTGACAGCAAATTACAGTGGTGTGCAAATGCCACTTGGTGCTCCACCCCCCCTCCCCCCCGAAAGAGGAGCTCCCTAGTGGGACACCCAGCAGACTCCCACAGACCTCCACAGCCACCAGTGGCTCCAGATCCACCCTGAGGCAGAAGCGAGTACGAGTCTGTCAAATCCAGGTTTAAAGCCCAGTTTATTAACTTGTTAAGCCCACGACCGCTTATTAACTGTGTGAGCGCTTGGGAAGTTACTCAACTTCTCTGAGCTCTTAATATCAATACTATCTTTTTGTGAGCCATTACTGCCAGCGTGAAAGACCATTCCAACCACACTCTGCATTCATTTAGAACTCTTTCAGAATAGCCAAGTTCACTGGCAATATGGGCTGCTCTAGACACATGAAGAATAGAAAAAGGAACTGGAAAGAATGCAATGGAAAGTTCAAATATGGAAAATTCTCAGCACCCTCTGTGATTACCCTTTGCTTTTCTTCCAAGCATATCCAAGCATTTTACATAGATTATGTTGTTCGGGCCAAGTCCTGAGGAGGGACCAGTACATATCCGCCCCAACCCTTCCTCCGGACGGGAACCAGAGAATGAGTGAATGAACTGTACTCTCCCTTCGGGCAGGAGCTCTGTCTCCTCATCGCCGCCACCCCCCCCCCCCCACAAGCACAGAGCATGGCAATGAAAGTTTTGTTTAACAAAACAACGGCAATGCGACCTGCACGAAGGCAGAGTAACCCCGGGTGAACGGCACAGCTAACATGTACTGAGCACTTGCTGTGTTTCAAATGCTGTCCGTGTATCCCTTTCTCGAAGCTTGAAGGCAGCCTTCTGAAATGGGTATTATCAGGGAACTTGAGGCCACGAGAGGCTAAGTAATTTGCCTAAGGTCAGAGCTGGGAAACAGTTTGTCCGACTTCAGAGCCTGAACTTCTAACTATTATTAAGCTACAGCTTCCTTGGTCCAAGTCATACTTCTTCGGTTGGTTTTCCCATCTCAGTTGCTTAACTACATCCAATAAAAGCCCCAAACCAAATAAAGCCAGCATGTTGTCTTTGATGGAAAGATAAGGGCCCTGCCCCGTGAGGCCCTCAGACTCTGGGAACAGGGTCCTCCTCCTCCTCCTTGGCGGCGAGGAGGGGCGGCATGTGCGGGACTCCTCCCATCTTTGTCCCTAAGGCCGTGTTTTCTACACTGACTCACTGCAGGGCAGAATGGGCTCCCTCCCGGTGGCACACGGGCCAACGTTCCTTCCCTCAGCATGTGCTGAGTGCCCTGCAGCGGCACTGAACCGGCACTGAACCGGGGGTGGCGGGCACAATGGGAAAATGGCTAAAAAAAGGTCACGACCACTGTCCTTGAGGAGCTTGCAGTCTAAGAAAAAAGATAACACAATCACGCAGATGAAACTGCACCCAGGAGGGGAAAATACAGTGAGAGCTCAGACAGGTAAGACTGGGGGCCAGCGGGGAAGGTCCAGAGCGAC